ATGGGAAAAGATCTTCACCAACCAGGCATCTGACTGATTTCCAAACTATACAAAGAACTCAAGAAGCTAGTCATCAAAACACCAAATAATTCAATTTAAAAGTGGGGTACAAAACTAAATAGAGAATTCTCAATAGAGGATTCTAAAATGGATGAAAGACACATAGGAAAGTGCTCAACATCCTTAGCCATCAGGGAAATGCAAATCAAAAAAACTCTGCGATGCCATGTTACTCCTGTAAGAATGGCTAAAATCAATAACACCAATGACAGTTTATGCTGGAGAGAATGTGGAGAAAGGGAAACACTCCTCCACTGCTGGTGGGAGTGTCACTTGCACAGCCACTTTGGAAATCAGTATGGAGATTCCTCAGGAAAAAGGGAATCAGTCTACCCCAAGATCCAGCATTTCCATTCTAGGCATATACACAAAAGATGCACCTTGATACATCAAGGACATCTGTTTAACCATGTTCACAGAAGCATTATTTGTAATAGCCAGAACCTGGAAGCAATCTAGATGCCTCTCAACTGAAAAGTGGATAGAGAAAATGTGGTACATTTACACAACGGAGTACTTAGTGGAAAAATAAATAGAATCTTGAAAATTGCAGGCAAATAAATGGATGGAACTAGAAGAAACCATCCTGAGTGAGGTAACCCAGTCACAAAAAGACAAAACCTCATATATGGATTTTAGACCCATAGCAAAAGAGTAGCAGCCTACAATCCACACCACCAGAGAAGCTGGGAAACAAGGACCCTAAGAGAGACATACATGGTCCCCTGGAGTAGGAGAAAAGGGACAAGATCTCCTGAGCTAATTGGGAACATGGGGGAGGGTGGAGGGAGTTAGAATAAATAGAAGGGGAGAAGAAAAGGGGAGAGGAGGGCAAGAGAGAGCAGAAAGATTGAGTAAGAGGAAAAAGAGGAGAGCAAGAAAAGAGATACCATTATAGAGGGAGCCATTAGAGGTTTAATAAAGACAAATCTGACACTAGGGAAATGTCCAAAGATCTATAAGATTGACCCCAACTAAGAATTTAAGCAATAGTGGAGAGGCTACCTTAAAAGCCCTTCTCCCATAATGAGATTGATGACTACCTTATATGCCATCATAAAGCCTTCATCCAGAAGCTGATGGAAACAGAAGCAAATTCCCACAGCTAAACACTGAGCTGAACTCTGGAAGCCAGTGTGCAGAGAGGGAGAAGTGATGAGCAAAGGGGGTCAAGACCAGGTTGGAGAAACCCACAGAAATAGCTGACCTGAACAAGAGGTTGTTCATGGATCCTAGACTGATAGCTGAGAAACAAGAAAAGGACTGTTCCAGACCCCTGAATGAGGAGGCCAGTTTGGGGGTCTGGACAATCTATGGGGCCTCTGGTAGTGGATCAGTATTTACCCCTAGTACACAAATGGACTTTGGGAGCCTTCTCCACACAGAGGGATGCTCTCAGCCTAGACACACTGGGCAGGGTCTAGGCCCTGCTCCAAATGATGACAGACTTTGAAGATCCCCCATGGAAGACCTCACCCTCCCTAGGGAGCAGAAAGGGGATGGGATATGGAGTCAGTGGGGCCAAGGGAGGAGGAGAGGTAGATGGAACTGGGATTGATATGTAAATGAAGCTTGTTTCTAATTTCAATAAAAAAGGGAAAAATAAATATAAAAGTCAAAAAAGAAAAATAAAGATAAATAAATCTAACTATAGTTGAATGACAGCAAGCAGTATTATGACCATTTGAAATATCCAGTCTATCCATCTGGCTTGTTCATCTGCCACCTGCTGTAATATTTACAAATGCCACAAAGAGAAGTCATGCCATACGACAGGACTCACATAGGTTTGTGGAAGAGGAGAGAGAAGGGGAAAGCAAATGGGATAGAGAGAGGAGCAGAGATGGGTCCCTGGGGACAAAAGTGGTGGAAGAGAAAGAGAGGGAAAAAAGAGGATAATAGGAGGTGGGCAGGGCCCTTTTAAAAGCGAGCTCAGTGAATATGCACAGGTGGTGCTCTTAGTTGCCTCAGCTGAGGACAGATCATGTCAGAACCCCAAGGGCAGGCCAGTACAGATGCCTGAATACTAACACCTCACCACCCCCCATCCTATTTCCCTCTCCTTTCCTCTTTTTCTCTTCTTTTTATTTGGGTAGGAGGTTCCATTTGTTATGACTGAATGTCTTTCTTAGTTAGAATCCAGAATAACCCACCTTAAACTGGTCAATCTTTGGTATGGGTTTTAAGTGACGTGTTCTTTAGATGGTTACCTTAAAGCAACAACTAATTTTGATTAAATCATGAAAAAAATCACAAAACCTTGCTTTCATAACTTTAGTACTACTTTCAGCAAAAAAACCAATAGCCCATACTCTTAAAAATGTCAAGGGCAAGGGGCTGAGAGGTGGCTTAGTGGTTAAAAGCACATACTGCTCTTGCAGAGGGTCAGAATTCAGTTTCTATCACCCATGTCAGACAGCTCATAACCAGCTGCAAGGAAACTGACACCTCTTCTGGACCCCACAGATGCCTGTACTCATATACACATATCCATACAGAGACATACACACATACATGTAATTTTAAAATCTTTTAAAAAAATCTAAGGGACCCTATAACAGCATTATTCTGTTAATATGCTCAATTACTGATTTTCAAATTCAAAATCAATTGTGCATTTCTGAAAAAAAAAAGCCATGTTTGGACTTGATTTATTTTGTATGTTACATAGTAAAATAATCCTTATGTAGATGCTATTATCAAGAGCTTTTTACATCTATGTTCATAAAGAAATTTTGATAATGTTGTCTGGTTTTATTGTCAGGGTTACTTTGGTATCCTGGTTTGTTGGCACAAATCAAGAAACATCTGGGAGGAAGGAATCTTAATTGAGAAAATTCTCCATGAGATTGGCCCATATGCAAGGCTGTGGGGACATTTTCTTAACCAGAGGTTATGTAGAAAGGTCAAGCTCATTCTGGGTGGCATGCCTCTGAGCAGGTAGTCCTGTAGTGAAGCAAGCAACTTTTAGCATTCCTCCTTAACTTCTGCTTCAGTTCCTGCTTCCAGGTTCCTGCCTTGATTGAGTTCCTGCCCTAACTTCCCTCAGTGATGGAATGACCTGAGAGTTGTAAGATAAAATAAACCCTTCCCACCTTGTTGCTTTTTGTCATAGTGCTTCATCACATAAATAGAAACCCTAACAAAGACATTGATTTAACAACACTAGTTGGAAGTTAACTCCTCCCACTTTAAGAGCTTTTGTAAAACTGGCATCATTTCTAAGTTTTTAATAGATCTGACTTTGAATGGGTCTGGCACTCTGTTGGAAGGTTTTCTTTTCTGTAGGAGGTGTAGACCCATGCTAGGTACTTGTAAAATTTTTTTGGCTGATGAATTTATTGCCTCTGTTCTCAATTCAGTTTCAGTCTAGACTCTTTGATGATGGCCAGAATTCCTCAAAGATTTCTCCCTGCTCTGTAATGACACTGATTGGTTTGCTTATTAAAGGGCACTGGAGGGACACTTCAGGCTTTCCTGAAGCCACATGGAAGGCCAGTGACACTGACATAAGGACATCCAGTAGAGTACTTCCCTATTCATGCATCTAGCATGTTGTCCCCTCAACCTAAGAATTAATTTTCTAGTACTCTCTCAATGCAAAAACTGGTTTCTTGAAGCCTTCTGCTCCCCTCTTCCACCTTCCAAAGACCTGCTGAAAACCCTGGTGCCAATTTCCTCTACAGGCTGCATACTTCACCTGTGGCCTGAGAAGGCTCTCTGCTTGCCAGCAACTAGTTTTGAGCCAGAGCTAGCTAACCAGCAATATTTTGCCTACTAGGCTAAGTATAGCAATGCCAATGAGGTTTGAACCCCGGCCTTGAGAAATGGCCTCTTTCCAAGTTTGTCCTTAGGGGCCCTTCCCTGAACCATAGTGTGCTATATTTTAAATATTTTATCTTACAGTTATTCCCTTAATATAGTTTAGTATTCAAAAAATACATCCCATACAACCACTACATGTTTTCTGCCTGATTGGACAAAATCCTACTGCCAATACAAAACAAAACCCATCTCTAGAATTCATGCTCCTTGCCTCAATCAAGTGTGGACTTGGCCTAGGGCCTTGCTTCTGAGGACTAAACTATCACAAAAGTAATGAGATGCCACTTCCAAGATAAGATTATAAGAGTAACTTTTCAGCTTTCTTGCTTGCTCTATGGCATTTTCTTGCCACTTAGAAGAGCCAATCTCATCCAATCTCCCACTGTGAGATGTCCTACAGAGACGCACCTGGCAAAGAACTGGCAGATTGGGCTCCACTGAACAGCCAGAAAGTCTGAGGTTTTCATTTCAATAGTTCATATGGAAGGAGATCCTACCAGCCATCAGAGGAGTGAACTTGGAAGCTTATCCTTCCATATCTGAGCAGTGATGATACCAATGCCAACCAACTTTTGGACTGCAGTTTCTGAAGAGACTCATGGTACCCATTTAAGTCACATTCAACTTCCTGACCTACAGAATCTGAGATACTAAGTACTGTTGTGTTACACTGCTGTTTGCAGTGGGTGGGTGTGCGTAATTTATGTGACAATAGAAAACTAATACAGGGAAATACCAATTTACTTTATCATTGTGTATTTATTTTCACAAACTCAATTTAAAAAAAAATTATTTTTATGCATATGGGTTTTTTGCCAAATGTATGCCTTGTACCATGAGTACCTGGTACCCGTGGAACCCAGAAGACATGAGATTCTCTGGGACTGGAGTTACAATTTTGAGTTGTCATCTGGGAGCTGGAAATTGAACCCAGGTCCTCTGGAAGAACAGCTAGCTCTCTTAAACACTGAACCACCTCATCAGCCCTGGTGAACTGAATTTTTAAGGAATTCATCTTGTTGACACTTCCTCATCCTCTTCAGAAGTAGACAAAGAATACCAGCTTATTTTACTCATTATTTCAGAAATAAAAACTATAACCACACAAAAGCATTTATATAAATGTTCATAGCAGCTTTATTTGTAATAGAAATTTGAAACAACTCAAATGCCTCTTAATGGAGGATGGTTAAACAACCCATGGTATATCTATACCATGGCATATTACTCGGCAATATAAAGGAACAAACTATTAATACATGCAACAACTTGGATGAAGCTCAAGGTAATTTTGCTGAATCCAGTAAAAAACAAAACAAAAAATTTCAAAAAGTTACATATGGTATAATTTCATTTATATAACATTGTCATCATGACAAAATTACAGAGATGGAGAACGGATTAATGGCTGCCAGGGTTCAGAGAGCATGGTAAGAAAATGGTGTGACTATAAAGGGCAAAAAGAATAAATGAGAGGAAAACAGGTGTTATCTCAACAATGGCCTTTCCACAAACTTACACTTGGAAAAAACTGCATAAGAACCATCCCTACACCCCTCTTTGTGGGTGGGCATATACAGGTGAATACACATGAAGCTGAGGAGGGGTAAATAAGGTCTATGGATTGAATATGTCAATTTTCTGGTTCTGATATTGTACTAGCTATACAATATACTACCATGAGACAGACTATATGAAAGGTACATGGTAATGTCTGTACTTTCTATGACTCTGTAACTATTTCAAAATACAGTTTAAAAAATACTATTGATCTCCATTCTCTTGGACTTAGGTATCTATTTTTAACCACACCTTTCATTACTCTCCATCTGATCCTCATTCAGGTTGGGTTTTGAGAAAATCCTTACTTAAGCAAGACCTATTCATGTAGCTATCTCACAGGCATCTGAGCTATTCTGTTAAGCATGTTATTACAACAGGCATTAACCATAAATCTCTCTGAAATTTCATTTCTTCCATGATGCCAACTTTCCTTGCTGGGTGTAAAGGTGTACACCAGTGATCTTAGCACTCAGGATTTTGAGTTTGAGGCCAAATGGGCAATACAAGACCCTACCCCTGTAGTAACTTGTTTCCTCTGCCTGGTTTACCTCCTCATGGCTTTTCTTCTTGCGTCTTCCTACACTCCAAAGTCTTTCTGGGGTTTATTGAAGACTGCATATGAAAATTATGTCGGTCCTCAGCAAAACAGGATTTGTAATCTTTAAACAAATTTCAATCCCCTAATAATGCACAGATGTCTAATGCACTTTTTAAAAAAGCACAGCAAATCTGGTCAGTCATTCTCCCCAACCCCAATCTTCAAGTTCATCTCTTTTGCTCCATCCTGGCATGGTCATGTAGTCTACACTTACAGTATTAACCCAGCCTCCTTGCTGGTCTATCTCCAGCTTCATCTTTTACATCACTGCCAAGGTATCCTTCCTAAAATCTCAAATCATTCAGCTTATGTAACTTCCAAGATTCTCTTATAATCTCTTTAGTATAGTATTCAATGCCCATCTACCTCTTCTAGCAGTGTAAACTTGGGCCAATTCTGCAAAGTATCTATATTCCTTTTCTTGTCTAAGAATGGTGACAGTAATCTACATTGTAACACTTAGAACTTTGTCTGAAACATACTAAGTGCTCTGAGATTTGGCTGTCCATATTATTACTCAGTGAAGTCCCATTCCTTAATCACACTTTTCACTTAGGTGGAAATGCACCCAACTACCACCACCATTACCTTTTTGGGAAAGAAAGATGGCAGAACTCTGACTCTATTACTTTCTGGTTATGAGATCTTGGCAAATTACAAAATCTCTCAGATGTAAAACAGAATTAAAATACTAAATAGAAGTAGAGGTCAGGGGGTCATGAAGGTAATCTATTACTGGTAAAAATGTTATGCAGGATTTAAAGTCTAGCCAGGGGTTGTCTCACAGAGAAGCAACCCCTCTTACTCAACACAACTATAACTGGTCCCTTTGTATGTAGCTTTCTGAGCTATTCAGCTTAGTCTTTCCCATTTCTACATCATGAGCTTCTAGGAAAAGAGTTCATTTTATTGACCTATAGTCTTAAAGACTGGCACAGACAAAGGCTTATGACACATCAGCTGGGTGAATAAATAAAGGTACCCTGGGGTCAATGACAATGGTGCTGAGATTCAGGCCATTTTTTAAAAAATTTTCCTGAAGCCTACAGAATAATTTTCATACTTTCATAACATGACTGTCCTATTTATGCACCGGTTCTATTATCTCCCAAAGACAGTAAACTCATTATTATTATTTTTTTATACCATCTCCCATTTAAAAAGTGCTCTATATTGAACGAAATGTCAGAACATTAAGAAATATTTCAACCTCCTTGGGTCTATTTACTTCCCAATGATATACTTATGAAGCAGGTAATCATTTAAGTCCCTACTTAAGGAGTGGTTTTCCAGCTTTATAAGAGATATCAAAAAAAAAAAAAAATCAGGACAACTAAAACATACCATAAACTTAACATTGACACTAAACAAACAACTTTTAAGGTGGACAAATAATTTTATTTTGTGCATGCAAATACATGTCAAGTACTGCAAACTTTTTCCATCAGTTTTCTCTCAAACACTGAAAATCATGATGCTCTATTTTGTGAACAGCCAAAGCTAATATCTCTTCACTTCAGTGCTACAGCAAAAACACACAGAATTCACTCTTTGCTATTCACTATCATCACAACCCTCATTGTTCCATCTCTGCCCACCCCCCATATACAGGCCTTATAAGTCCTAGCCTTCCCCCCATTTAATCCTATTCCTATAGCACAAAGGGAAACATTACAATTTGGAAATTCAAATTGAAATAAATGGAATAGAATTTATTCCCATATATATTCCCCATTTCATTGTACAGAATTATTTTATAGTTTTAAATAGAAGCTGAGTATATGCCTTAAAAATGAGCATTAAATCCATCTTAGAGATGGTGCCTGCTTTTTACATGATGGGTGTACACCATCTTTAATTTCATTTACATTTCAATCGAACAATAGATTTGCAAAGAAAATGTCTAATACAGACGTAAAAATATTCACACTAAGCTTCACAATCGGTTGTACAATTGACAAACAGGCCTCTTTTCCCAAACTTTCCAGCTAAGCAAATTTATAAAATGTAATCAATGCAACAAGAAAAACATTTCTTTTTCACTTCCAGGGAAAAGAATATGCAATAAACAGTATAAATGCAGACGGCAGTTGCTGCAAGCTAACCACGATACTCCCAAGTGGCTGTACAGTGGGTATGTGCAGTACAAATAAAAGCCACATGTGTTGTATCACAACTACAGTATAATTGTTTGCCCAGCTAAGAGAATGCATGCACTTCCATGCCGTGGGTTATAAAGTGAGGCCTAATTCTTGACAGGTTGATGGAATATGTGCAAATGACCTTGGCTTTTGGCAGTACTAAGTGCAGCCAGTGTCTTTTTTCCACTGGTTTAGGGGATATTTTTAAATTTTTATATAAGAGAAAAAAAATTGCCAGTTTCAGACTTGGGGGAATAACTCCCCTTAGAGTAAAAATAAGTCTCCACTCAAATGTGGGGTGTTCTGATCTGTGGTTTGACTCCTTGTACTCCCTTGCCAGCAAAGGGATACAAAGAAACAGCTAGTGTAAAGGAGTTACTAGCAAACTTAATCTCTAAAAAACGGGATACTCCTTGAGCATGTCATTTGTGTTCTGTTTACAGAAGGGGCTCTTCTGCAGAAGGAGTTACAGTAAGTGATCCCATCAGTACTCTTGATTCACTAAAACATAAGGAAAGTTCTAAGACACTAATACATAGCTGCAATGCAACTTTTCTCTTTAATGATTAGTTACTAATATTGGTGACAGTCTGCTCAGAAATGACTCAAAGAAACAAGGGAAGAAATTCTCAGATTCACAGCTAAAATCATATACCGAACCTGATTGTTACACGTTCCAACCCTGGTTAAAAAAAGATAACATGGGCTATATCACATCTAAAATTCAAAACTAGGGTAGATGGTTTTTAAACAATTTTTTTTTTCAAATGTTTAAATGATCACATTCAAAAGTCCTGCAAACCATTGCATTCTGGAATCTTCTCTATATAAAATCAGGATGTGCTTTGTAACTCAGCCATCAACTTGAAATCTGGGTCAAAGTGACTAGGATCCACACAAATGGGAAAGTTTAGTTTTTGTATAAGAGGTTTCATTTAATTCTCTTACTAGAGTAAAAAGCTACGAAAGGAGAGAATCAGCGCCATGGGCTTAAAGAGCTACCTTTAAAAAAAAAATTACAATATACAACTGTCCCCACATATACTGGTTCGTTGCATGGCACTGAAATAAGTCATGGTAGCAAAGGCAAGAGAATCTGGTTTGTTTAGGTACTAAATAGAAGGAATACATATAGAACTCTTAGAATTCATAAAATGAAATGACCCCACACAAGACTAATGATGTTATATTCACAGCATCTGAATGTGGCACACTTACTAGGACCTGGATTTACAAATTGGGAAGAAAGACAAACAAAAACAAAACATAAAGGAAACCCACAACATTTTCCTGCTTTTCAAACTTCAGACTGCTTTTTCCTGATCAGACCCATAGGTGACACATGCAGTTTATATATCAACATTACAAATTTTCTCTTCTACTGCATTGTAGCCTCTGATCCCAAATGTGTTCATCACAATGTCTTGGTAAAGGGTCAAAATGATGATTGCCCCAATTTTAAAAAGCCATGTTCCAGGTCTACTTGTACTATTTTCCTCTATGACATGAGTAAGTACTATTTTGAAGAAAGGTCAGATGAACTGTTCTTTCTTCTGAAGTGGCAGAGATTCAATGGCTTTATTTCACATTAAACCCACCAAAATAGACAGTAGGTTGTCACCACATAAAAGATGCAATACAGTGTAACATCAACACAGAAACAATTCCTATGTTGTTAGTGAGAAAGAGTAGAAATTTAAGAATAGGGAGTTATTACTTTATGGGATCATCTGCTGCAAGAAAAGCATTATTTTGCTCTAAGTGTGTGAGACATACCAATAAGGTTGGCAAGTACACATACTGATGCAAATGTAATTTACTGAACAAATAGGCAAACACCTAAGCATCCTAACCCCCTCCAGCAGAGCACAACCACGCTTCAAAATTTCAATTTTAAAATGAAAAAGATAAGGTTAAATACACAAGATCAATTTATGTAGTATATAATCACCCTCAGAAAGTGCTGAAGATGTTCGTGTAGTTCTGTTGCACGGAGGGTTCTTTCCCTGAGGGCACATAAGGAGCTCTCAACTGTTAATAGGTCTCTATTTTGTAACAAAATAGCAATTTTAAAATCTTAAAAAAAAATACATTACCTTCAACATGGAAGATCTCACTATTAAATATCCATGAAATAGACAGACTGGTTTACATAACCTTTTTGAAATTATAAACAGAAAAAAAAAAAAAACAACATTGGAAGCGTTTTAAATGTAATAAGTTCATATTCATAAAAAGGTTCTGATATAAATTATATAACAATCATGTTCCTGTAATATCCTAAGCTAATTTATAATGTCAGAAATAAGTTAATGCAACATGGTTTAAAACTCTTGTTCCTATTCATTTCAGGTTACAGAGTGAAATAAATAAAATGTCTTTGTAGGGATGGGAGCACTGGCCATGGCAAAAAGGTACAGTACTAACCAAAGGAAACTAAGTCAAGGCTACTGTGCTGTTATGCTACAAACAAACATCTTCATACACTTAAGTATTAAATAAATGTGTAAGATCTTCCATACTGACACCAGAATATCAAAACTACCCCTTTGTTTCTCAGGTATTATTTACAACTTATCAGTCACCTTATGAGCATGTTCATTAAGACAGGTATCAAACACCAGTATTTACTCATTCCAATCAAGAAATTTCAGGGAAATGTCAACCCTCCCACCCCTGGAAATGTGCACAAAACTTTTATCAAAATCTTATCTGATACAATTCTGTGGTTTTTTGTAAAATAACTAAATAGCTCAGACGACCAATAACATGATCCTGTTTAAGCATCTTGCTAGCAGGAGAAGCCCTTACATACAGTACACCTGGTGAAAGATCAGCTTGGCTTAAAATATTCCAGTACAATTCTCAGAGTAAACAACTTCACAGAAGTTAATTAAAAAATAAAAGTCAAACTAATCGGAAAGAAATGGAGGAAAAAAAAAAAAGACAAACTATAGGTAAGATTACCACTAGGAAGGAATGCCCAGCTTTTGTTTTCAAATGTTGACTGAAATTTAAGCTTCAATAAAATACCACCCACAAATCTGAGACATGGATGGTTGAACATACTGCATACTTCCAGATGCCAAGTGAAAATTTCAGTCACATTATGGCAGGGCAGAAATTATTCATGTTCTTAAGTATGGGTAAATGTTAGCCAATGTACTACTACTACATGGTTCATAGTCTTATCAATCTAACAGTCAGAAAACAAAGAAAATTAAACCCAACATGAAGTTAACAACAAACAATATCTAACTAAAACAATGTAATGAACACACAAATTAATTTCTTTAAATTAAAGACCCAGCAAGACCATCTTGTTAGTCAGTGCAAACGCTACAGACAGGGTTTTCTCAAGAAAGGTGAAAGCACCTGATTCTTTTGCCAAGTCATCAGATTCAATAATGTACAGGCTTAAATCTGCATTTTAAAAAATTGCCATTACATTAGTGCATAATTTATCAAAATTGTAAAAACGATTCTGCATAACTTAGGAGAATTTAATATCTAGTACATCAGCTGAAAGACTTAGGCACTTGGTTATATTTTTAATTAATTACTTCAACAAGTAGCCTGTGTATAAATATTAACAAAGCAGAAACTATTCTTGAAAAATGGAAAATTAAAAATTAAATGCTACAGATAAAAGCACTGCACCACACTTCTACATATAATGCAGTAAAGAAAGCTATTACATAACCCTGTAAAACTCTATGGTAAGAACATCTAACTCCACTCTTCAAAAAAAAAAAAAAAAAAAAAAAAAAAAAGAAAAAAAAAAAAAAAGAAAAATCCATGCAAAGTCCAATAAAAAAAAAGATAAATAAAGCAGCTGGAATGAGATGGAAATTTCTCTCAGTGAAACATAAAATAGAAATAAATTAATTAACTCTACTTTCACTAGATGTATCATTGTAGGATCCTGCTAGTTTAATAACTGAGTTGTTAATTTACTGTAGAAGCCATTTAAAATAGGAAATGGCTCAGTTACTGCACCGGATTGCTACAAACTCATAAAAAGCTGCTTGAAGCTTAAGTTAAATGTTGTCCAAATTCCAATAATTTCTGGAAAGTGAACGTTACCCTAGTAAAGTAAATTTTCTTTTTTTTTTTTTCATAATGCTAATGCAAGAGGGCTTGAAGTATCAAAGAGTCCACAGGAAATGAATGCCCCCAGTAATATCTGTTTTTTTTTAAAAAAAATATACATTATATAATATATATTATATATATAAAAAGCTAGTGTAAATGCTTCCATGGTGTGGTCACAAATTTGAAAGATGAGCCTCCTTTCAGCTGTTAACCATCTTCCCATTTGCAATAGGTTTTAAAAAGTCGTTTTTATCTTCAGACATAACGTGAGTTTTCAGAATGAGGTTGCCAACACTGACAGATGTGGCGATGGGGAGGCAGCCTGCACTGCTAATAGATACTGGGAGTGGCTGGCTAAAGCAAGACGTTACTGGCAGAACTGTTTTTTGCTCCTCCCTGAGAAAAAATAAATGACAGTGAAAGCAAATTAACTTTAAGTGCAAATATTTATGAGTTACAATATATGTTCTCCAAAAGCTACTCCAAACTCTAAGACCCAACAGAAAAAGCCTATCTTCTTTATCAAGAAAAGTTTGAATGGGGCTTGGAGAGATGTCTCAGCGGTTACAAGCACTGGCTGTTCTTCCAGAGGACTCAGGTTCAATTCCCGGCACCCAAATGGCAGCTCACAACTGTCTATAACTCCAATCCCAGGAGATGCAATGCCTGTTCTGGCCTCTGCCAGGCACAGCACAAGGCTTGCACATGGTGCAGAGACATATATGCAGATAGACACCCAGACAAATTAAAAATTAATAAATAAAAATTAAAATAATTTTTAAAATATCAGAAGTCAGACAGAGGTAGGCAGATCTCTGTGAGTTCGAGACCAGCCTGGTCTACAAGAGCAAGTTCCAGGACAGCCTCCAAAGCCACAGAGAAACCCTATCTCGGAACCCCCCCCCCCAAAAAAAAACAGAAGTCACTAAAAAGGCCCTATTTTCCAAATTTATGATAAAAGTTAAAATAATAATTAGATGACATATAAATTATCAAGCTTAAGGCCAGGATCAAATCTTTGGCAGTAATTAAATAAAATGGCAATATAGTAGCCAAGAAAATCGTAACATGACTTTCAGAACAAGAAATATTCAGCATAGTTTTTGTTTGCTTTAGTTTTTATGAATTTTTTAAAAAGAATTATGTGTTTTGCTTTCATTCATGTATGTATGTATGTATGTATGTATGTATGTATGTATGTATGTATGTATACCACATGTGTACAATACACTTGGAGGTCCCAAAAATGGGTTTTATCCCCTGGAACAGAAGTTATACCAAGGTTGTGAGCCACCATGTGGGTGCTGGGAACCAAACCTGGGTCCTCTGCAAGAGCAATAAGTGCTCTTAACTGCTGAGCCTCTCTCCAGCCCCTTATGGTTTGTTTTTGAGATAGGGTCTTGCTATGGACTCCATGATAGCTTAGAACATATAAGCAGCAGATCCTGCCACTGCCCTCACAGGTGCTGAAGTTAAATAAGGTTGCCCCCTAATAGTAAAAAGCCATAATGAATCTAACCCTGCATCTACATAAGTTATTTACACCTTATGCCCCCTGATTACAAAGGATCTGTCTAACACTCACAGAATCACATGGTCTTCACCTAAGCTCTGTCTCTTCTGCTTTACTGTGTCTTTCTGGTGATGTTGACCTGGATGGCCATTTTCCATTGCTGTTCCATTCAGCAACTGATCACTTTGAGAACTGATATCAAGTTGTAGGTCCAGGATTTCCTAAGAAAGTAAAATGTTAATCTTTCAATATGACATTTTTTTAAAATTTTTATTTATTTATTATGTATACAACATTCTGCCTCCATGTATATATGCACACCAGAAGAGGGCACCAGATCTCATAACGGATGGTTGTGAGCCACCATGTGGTTGCTGGGAATTGAACTCAGGACCTCTGGAAGAGCAGTCAGTGCTCTTAACCTCTGAGTCATCTCTCCAGCCCCAATATGACAGTATTTTATGCATTTTAATTTACAACAGAACAAGGCCACCTAATTATCTAATTTTGGCACTTACTTCAATTTGTTCACTTTGTCCATCAGGTTCATCAGTATCGAGTGCTGAAAGCTCTAACTCAATATCTCTATCGGGCTTCGTATCTACTGTGTCTTCTGTATAATCACTCTGTGAATAAGAAAAATATTAATTTTATAACTGAAGAACCTGGGATCTCCTTTAAATTACAATGGGAATCCTAATATTTAGCTAAAAAATTAGTTCAGAATTCTGAGACTACTATTTGTACTCTAAGTTAAAAAGTAATCATTCATCTGAAAAATGCACTAAGAAATAGTATATCCTAATACACAGCCACAAAAAGCAAATATGCTAGCATGAAGCTGAGACATTTAGTTTCCTTACCTCTCCATTTCTTAGTTCAATTTCCTTGCTTAGAAGATTTAAAGTAAGGTGTCGGCCTTCATCCAGGGAATTCCACTTCTGCTGCATGGCCAGAGCATTAGCTTCCCTCTGAAGAAGTAATGAGTTACTCTTGGCCTCCATGAAGAGAGAGGAAAACATAAACTTAGCATTCAATTATTATTTTACTCAAAAAAAAAAAAAATCAAAGCTAAATAAATAGAGCCTACCTGCTGAAGTTCAATGCTCAAAAGGTCTCCAGTACTGGAATGCTTTCTATGACCAGATAAATCAGTAACAATGAATCTGTCCCTTTAAAAAGAAGTATGTTTATTGTAGTTAAAGTGAGATATAAAGTGTTAATGACTATATGCTATCTGTAACTAACAACACTGAATGTGTTTTAGTCACCATTCTAAACACAAATGTTTCAGATATTTTTCTTTTAAAGATTTTATTTATTTATTATGCATACAACATTCTGCTTCTATGTATATCTGCACACCGGAAGAGGGCACCAGATCTCATAACGGATGGTTGTGAGCCACCATGTGGTTGCTGGGAATTTAACTAAGGACCTCGGGAAGAGCAGTAGGTGATCTTAACCTCTGAGCCATCTCTCCAGCCCGCTTCAGACATTTTTTAAACAGCTCAAATTAGTTGTTATCTACTGTGGCTTATTCCATGGACAACCAGTAGTGGTGGGGGTGTGGGTGTGTGTGTGTGTGTGTGTGTGTAATTTTTTTGGGGGGAGGGGGTTTCAAGACAGGGTTTCTCTGTGTAACAGCCCTGGCTGTTCTGGAACTCACTCTGTAGACAAGGCCTCAAAATCAGAGATCTGCCTGCTTCTGCCTCCAGGGTGCTGGGATTAAAGGCGTGTGCCATCATCACTAGGCTGGTTTCTATATTTTAAGATGCATGTAGTTTGTAGTTTAAAAGTAAAGCATCTTAAGGAAATGAGAATAAAGTTACCGTTCAATATAGTGTGCTGATGATGTGGCCTCATTGCCATATGAACTCCACCTTGAATCAACAGCATTGACATAAGGGACATAATCTGTAGGAAATAAAAAGAAACCATTATCAGAAAAGCAGAAAAGCCAGACAAGGTGGTGCACATCTGCAATGCCAATCTTCAGAAGGCTGAGGCAGGACTGCACAAGTTTGAGACCAGCTTGGATACATCATGATCCCATCTCAAAAAAAAAAAAAAAAAAAAACAAAAAAAAAAAAAAAAACCCAAAAAAACAACAAAAAAAAAAAA